TAAAAAAAAACAAAACTTGGGGGTGGGGAAGGGGAATCTTTACCACCTCCCCCACACTGTATTTAGTATGATGAGCAGAAACTCGGGGAGGGAGTGTGTTTTGCCACCCTCCCTCCACCCCCACCTGGCCAGGCACCTTCAGGGCAGGATTGGTAGCTGCGGTAGGGGCTCAGAGCACTGTTCAGGGGGGCAGCAGTGGCAGCTCCTGGAGGTGTGGGACTCCTGCCTGTGGGTGCTATGGTACCGTGGTTCAAAATCACTGATCTACCTAACAGGATTTGAACCCACATCTTCCACACCCCAAAAGAATACCTTAACCATTAGGTTAAAGGGTATTCTGGCTCAGAATTCTTCCTGCTGTAGCTATTCCACTTTTCATGGAATATTTAAACATTCACTGTGGCAGAGAGAGAACACCCAAGACAGAATAATTTTGGCCTAGTGATCAGGATGCAAAGGGAGACAACCCTTGGTTCCAGTTCCTGCTTTTCCCAATACTTATAAAATAACGTAATAAAAATTGTTTAACTGTTTTAACCATGAAATTAGCATAGGTGCTCAGCACTGTCCAGTCAAGGGCACTTACAGATATACCCAAAAGCAGACTTTAGGCAGTCAAGGAACTTTAATGCAAGAAACTTAGGCACATACAGAATTTTGGTACCAGGGTAAGCACTGAGGAATTCAATTTTCAACTTATTGTAGGCATATACATACCAAAGTCCCTTGATGGATATAGTATCAAACCTGTAAAGGATGAGGTGATCTGCTTAAAAGTTATAAACCTGATCATTCTTTTTCTGTTTTGTCAGTTACATCTGCCTTATTAGCATGATTGTAACAAGGGGTTGTGATGATTAGAGGCCTGAGCAAATGTTTTTTGAGACTGACTTCAGCAGGCGGGGGAGAGGGAAGTTCTTTGGAGGGAAGTTCCAACACACTGACAAGCACAAATAAATCAGATAAATCTATCAAAGTTACAGTCAACAGAAGCAGTATCACACTTGTGAAAAGATAATAGGTTTTGAGTTTACCTGAGTGGAAGCATTAGAGGAAGAACCAAGTTTCTACAAAGCTGTTCACAGCATCCCCAAAGAACTCAAAACTGACAAGAGACTGAGAACTGGCATACAAGGCTCCTTTGCAGAAACCAACTGCTTAGAGCTTGTTAAAATTCTGCCTTGTTGAATCCCAGGGCAATAGATCTTTGGAGAATATGTACGCTTTTCCCAGGGCTTTTACGGACCTTAGTAAACAGAACATACACATGCCATATAAAGTATTCTATATACGTAAACTTTAAGCATTATTATTCATTGCAAGATAACGCTCCACCAGGACAGTGCAGTGTTGGAAAATGTGAGGTATTATTATGTGCGTGGTCTGTATTATGCAGAAACAGGCAAATCAGTTTCCAAAGCTGACAAACTTCCCCTTCTCTCTCAAAGAAAAGATTCAAGTAGAATTGAAGGAGTCTCCAGTCTTATCTTCCTACAAAGTCACTATAACCCCGCTCCCTGAAACAAAAAGAAGAAAAAAGCAAAGCAACACCCCCCCCCCCAAAACAAA